CCTTCCCCTATTCCCTTCATCACCCCATCCCGCGCCCCTCCATCCCCGCAGCATCCCTGCCTTCCCCTATTCCCTTCATCACCCCATCCCACAGCATCCCTTGCTCTCCTCCTCACCCCTCCTCGCTCCCAGTACCGCCCCTTCCCGCATCCCCCGACCCTCTCAGTCCCCCTGCCTTCCACCCGGCTCCCCGCATCCCCCGAACTCCGCTTCTCCATCCTCCCTTCCCGCAACCCCCGATCTCCGCTCCTCCATCCTCCCTTCCCGCATCCCCCGATCTCCGCTCCTCCATCCTCCCTTCCCGCATCCCCCGATCTCCGCTCTTCCATCCTCCCTTCCCGCATCCCCCGATCTCCGCTCCTCCATCCTCCCTTCCCGCATCCCCCGATCTCCGCTCCTCCATCCTCCCTTCCCGCATCCCTTCCTTCCCTCCGCCTCCCTCCCCGCCCCTTCCCCGCCCGCGCCGCCCCCGCCCCTTCCCGGCCGCCGCTGTTCTCGAGGCGAGGAGCCTCCCCCGGTACCTGCCCGTCCTTCCATCCCTCCATCCCTCCATCCTCCCGGTCCCGCCGCCTCCCTGTCCGCCGGGCCGGGCCGCACCCCGCGGGATCCGCAGCCATCGCGGGCCGAGGCGGTATCGATCCCCATCCTCATCCTGATCCCGATCCCGGCGGCCCCGGGGCCGCGCTCCCGCCGCGCTCCCCCCGCACATTCCCGGCCATGCGGGGGAGGCGGGCGGCGGCTCCGCGCTGAGCCCCGGGCAGGGGGACAGAGCCCCGGGCAGGGGGACAGAGCCCCGGGCAGGGGGACAGAGCCGAGCCCCGGGCACAGGGAGCCGAGCTCGGGGCTCCGCCGCAGGTAAGCGGGGCGGGGGGTGCGGGACGAGACGGGACCCGGCTCCTTTCCCGCTTCCAGGGGGGCTGGAGGGACCGCCGGGGCCGGGGAGCCGCCGGGAGCGGCTGGAGGAGCGATGTTCTTGGCGCTCCCCCCGCCCTGATCCCGCTGCCTTTCCTGCCGCTCCCCGCGGGGTTTGTTAATCGGGGATAAGCCTGACCCGGAGCGCGATGTGTGACAAGCCGGGATTGAATCCCAGCCCTGGCGCGCGGGGATTTGCCCGGGATCTCCCCGAGGAACAGACACCGTCTCCGCTGCGCGAGGCTGCCGGGAAGGATCGAAATATCCCTGGAAAGCCACGGAGAGGCTGCGTGTGGTAGGGACGGAGCAACGTTTTGGGCTGTGGATTTCAACCGTAGGTTTCCCTGGAATAATGTTTTGGGCTGCCATAGGTTTCCCTGGAATAGCGTTTTTTGCTGACGGTTTCAGCCGTAGGTTTCCCTGGAATAGCGCTTTGGGCTGCCAGTTCCAGCCGTAGGTTTCCCTGGAAGCCGCTCAGCCCGGCTCGTTCCCGTTTTTCCCAGCGCTCGGACAGAGCAGGAAGCACCCGCTGCCGGCTCGGAACACCGGGAGGATTTCACTGCCCGCTGATATTCCTCCTGCGTGGATATAAACCGGTGTAAATGGGATTTGGCACAGCTGCTCGAAGCTGGGGTTTTTCCTAAAAAATTCTGAAGTTGGGATTTCCCAACTGTTTTCCCCAGGATCGGGTAAACGCTTCTTCCGAGCTAAGGGCAAATAAAGTTTATTTTACAGCGTTTGCTATGAAATTTCATCAATCTGAAACAGCAAAGAGAAAAGAACTGTTAGAGCCGCTGCTGTTTCTTCTTTGTTGCAAAATAACGGGCTGAATAATTCTTTGGGCGCTGGAAATAGCAGGAGGAAAGATTAATGGGAGATTAAGGCAGGCTCGGGATGATGCAGAGGATAGCAGGAGGCAAAGATTATTTTAACTGCTTGCTGGCTGCTGGACTTTGAGGAGAGAGAGGAGGCCTTAAAAGCTCGTGGTTTTCAAGACTGTTTTGATTTTCCTCTCCTGCACATCTGTGGTCTTGGTGTTCTGTAAAACTGTCAGTGAAACCAAAAAAGGTGATGCTGAGAAGGGCTAAAAAATTCGGCATAACTTGAAAAGTGGTGCTTTTATCTCGTGGTGATTTTTTTTTTTAGCCAGGCCTGTTACTACAAAACCTTTTGGATTTTATTAGTATTTTGGTATAAAAAGTGGGTTTGGATGGAATTGAACAGATTGTAACACGGCATCGATTTGGATTCCACTGGGGTTGGGTTTTGGAGGTTTAGAAGTGATTTGTTCTCAGAAATAGTGCTCTGAGAAACAATTTATCTGCTGTGTCTCCTACCTTTGTGTTCACACCCGAGTGATCCCTGTTTGTGAGTTCCCAGAGGTGTCTGTGCTGGCAGCAGGCACTGATGCTCAGGGAACAGGGTGGAATTCCACCCTCCTGTTGGACTGTGGATGAGCTTGAAGAAAATCTGAGTGTAAATAACTGCTTTTCCTGCCCGGGAGAGGGACTGGAGGCAGGAAATCAGCCCACGGGCTCTGGGGTTTGTGGCTCTTCACACCCTCCTCCCACCTACCCCAGAAACAGCTCTGCTTCTTCGGGAAGGGGAGGTGACAGAGCTGTTCCCGCCATCTGTACCCCAAAAACCCCATTCCTGGGGGAGAATAAAGTGTAAAAACCTTCCTTATCAACCTTATAGGCAAAAGCTTAGGACTGGTTTGTCTGTGGGAATGTGGGTTTGTTTTGGGGTGAGGCAAAATATGGTAGGAACGACCAAACCCCACCTTTGGGTGACACAACAATTAAGGCCCGAGAAGAAAAGCAGAATTGCTCTGGAAATAAGAAACTAGGAAAACTTGGCATATTTTTCTATGTGAGACACAGTTCCAGGGGGTTTTGTACACCAGCAGGTGAATCCAAGGGAATATTTTGCCTGAAAACGGGGGAGAATTGAGTTCCAGGTGGCTGCACATCACTTTTATGAGAGCAGGAAAATATGTTAAAGGTGGTTTTTTTTGTTGTTTTCTTTTTAAGTCCAACATAGTGAGAGCTGGTCACTTCTAACAAATCTGCCCTTCAAAAACTTGGAGATGAGTGGAAACTACAAAAGGATTTGACTGTGCCTATTCTACTTCTTTTGTGATGACCAGTTTTAAGTTGGAGGGAGTGTGATGTGATAAGTTAGTGATTGTACAGACAGTCCTTTTAGTACTCAGAAACTTGGGGTTTTTTTCCCAGATTTGTTCTGTTGGGCTGGAGGAAGTGAGGGAATAATGATTTTTTTCCATGGAGCACAAAGTGTGATGAGGAGCAGCTGAGGGAGCTGGGGGGGCTCAGCCTGGAGAAGAGGAGGCTCAGGGGGGACCTTCTGGCTCTGCAACCCCCTGACAGGAGGGGGGAGCTGGGGGGGGGTCTCTGCTCCCATGGAACAAGTGATGGGACAAAAGGAATTGGCCTCAAGTTGCATCAGGGAAGTTTTAGGTTGGGTATTAGGGAAAATTCCTTCATGGATAGGGCTGTCCAGCCTTGGCACAGCTGCCCAGGGAGGTGGTGGAGTCCCCATCCCTGGAGGGATTTCAAAGCCACGTGGATGTGGCACTTGGGGACAGGGATCAGTGGTGAACACGGTGCTGGTTGATGGTTGGACTCCATGATCTTAAAGGTCTTTTCCAACCTCAAGGATTCCCTGATTTGTCAGTGGCACTGATGCAATGGGAGTGGTCAGGTAGTTTTTGTTGTGATGTTGACAAGGAGTGGTCCCACATCCCTTTGGTGTCCGTGCTGGTGGTTCCTGCCAAGCCACACCTTTGTCACAGATCCGTGGGGAAATCCTCTGGCACACGGAGGCTGCTTGGCTGTGTCCTTCCTCTGCTACTTGTCCCACAGTCCTGAGCTGGAAGGGCCCCACAAGGACCATCCAGTCCAACTCCTGGCCCTGCACAGACACCCCAACAATCCCCCCCCTGTCCCTCAGAGCATTGTCCAAACCCTCCTGGAGCTCTGGCAGCCTTGGGGCCGTGCCCACTGCCCTGTAGTGTTTCCCAGTCCTTGGATCACTGCCTGACTTGCTCCAGCATTTTCTTCCTGTCTGATGAGCTGGAAAACTCCTCCTGGGTGGGACTTGTCAGGCTGTCAATGCCACTCAACACTCCTTTCTTTTAATTTCCCGGGTATGTGGGAGAGCACCCACCATCTGAAAGCAGATAATTACAGTCAGGTTCAGCTGCTAATTAGCTGTGAGGAGGCCCTGCAGCAGCTTGGAGGGGGATAAATACCTGCCTCACCTGGGGAGGGGGAGCAGAGAGAGGTTGGAGGACATGCTAAGTCTGGCTGACAGGGAAAAAACTGGGAGGTTGGTGACCAAAGGTCTCCAGTGTGCTTGTGTCCCTCGTCAGGTGGGCTGTGCCTTGGGGGAAGAACCTGGAAAAAGGGGTGGGAGGAGGACTTTGAGCTGCTGATATGTTATAGCCCCTGGGGATGTCAGAGTGAATTGCCAACACTTGAGTTCTTGCAGAGAAGCTGTGGCTGCCCCTGGATCCCTGGGAGTGTCCAAGGCCAGGTTGGGCAGGGCTTGAAGCAACCTGGGCTAGTGGAAGGTGTCCCTGCCCATGGCAGGGGGGCTGGAACAGGACAAACCTTAATATCTCTTTCAACCCAAACCATTCCATGAGCCTACAACGTTCTTTTAAGGTTTGTGGGGCTTTTTCAATCTTTATTTTTAGTTGATTTCAGGTTTTTGGTGCTTTGTGCCAACACATTGGTAGAACAACCTGCTTTAGGACAAGGTTGGTGCCTGAAGGCAAGGACTTAAAGGAGGGGTAAACCCAGAGCAGTTCTTCCCAAATTGGCCATCCTGTGCAGGATAAGTGACAGGGAGGTGGCTCTGAACACAAAAGCTCTTCCTGTCTGCCTCGGGGGGGATGTGGTGCTTTGAGGGCTCTGTTTGGGGGAGAAGCTGGTGCTTGGCATCGCCTGAACAAAGCAGCACAAAGCACAGGGGGGGCTTTCATCGCAGAGCACTCGGCTGGGATGAATTAATTAGTCTTTTCCACTTTAATTTCTGAGTCACGGAAGTGCATTTTGAAGTGAAGAATAGGTCTGTTATCAAATGTCAAGCAGCCTATTTCAGGAAAGGAGAGAGGGAGAGAAACTAATTCTTAAAGCACAAAACACTGGGTGGCTCTGACTAGAGGTGCCTAATTTCTATTCTCTCCTTCTTTTTTTTCCTTACTGAAAGAGTTCCCATGTCGATCTTGGAGTTTGACAGTTCTAACACTGGAAGTTCTTCTGACAGCTGTACATGAATTAATAAGCTGCTCATGGTATTAAATGTGGTTTTTGGAGGTGTGGTGTCTAGTCAGCTTTGGTTAGACCCAGCTGGTCAGAAGATTTCTGTAGGCAGGATACAGCTTTAAGTGCTGCATCCTGCTTTAAAAATTGAGGTGTGTTTAGAAAGAGAGAGCTGCAAACCTTCCTGGCCAGATCTCTCTGTGACTGACACTTGGATGTTGTTGTTGTCGGGGAGCTGCGGTGAATCACAGGGACAACCACGAGGAGCAGCCACGCTCATCCTTTGATTTATCGGAGGTGAAGGCTGGGTATCTTGGAATTCAGGCGAGCTGAGCTCTGCTCTGCCTCCCCTGAGTGGCAAAAAATACATTTGTGATCGCTTCTCTTTCCCGATGGGAATTTCTTCCAGCAAAGTCCCGCGGTGGGCGCTCAGCTCCCGACCCCTCTGTGTCCCAGGCTGATGGAACGGCTGTGACGGAGCAGATGAGCTCCAGGCTCAGCTCGGAAAGCCTCCAGCACTCCTCGCTGGGGGGTTTTGGGGAGGCTCTCCCTCCTCAGTTGCATTTATTCTTTAAAAATCCGGTGTTCTGCCTCTTCCCCGAGCTGGGGGTTCTCATTAACACCCAGCGCTGCATCAGCTGGAATTTAATGTCCCATTAACCGGCTCACAAAACGAGCTGGAATTCTCATCCACAGGGCTCTCGTGGTCCGTGCCAGAGCAGTGGCTGCGGCCATCCCGAGGTTCCTATTCCTAAATCCTTCGGAGGGTGCGCGAAAGGAGCGCTCGAGGCTGTGAATGAGGCGCTCGTACCCCACGGACGCGTCAGGCGGGATGGATTCCAGCGCTGAAGGAGGTGTTAAGTCACATCCATTAAAAGAATGGTCCGCGTGACAAATAGGAGATTCCTTGGAAAACGCAGCACGCCTCAGTTAAATAATGAAAAGGCAGGAAATTTCCTCTGGAAAATCCGTTCCCTCCTCTTTGTGATGAGCCGAAGGCTGCGGACAGCGCTGAAAACGTGCCCCCAAAACCTCAGCCAAGGCAGTTTTCTGCCCCCTCCCATTGCGTAATTTTCCCCCTCGATACTTCTGGAGGGATGTAAAGGCCGAGAGGAGGAGCAGGAGTTGTCCTCTCTGTGGTTGGTGCCGTGCAGGGGTCCTGGGGAAAGTCTCCGTGGAGGTGTAGATGATGTTTAATGTCATGTTTCACCAAACCTGTTTTGGAAACCAGCGGTACAAATAAGAACAGATTTCCAGGAACGTTTTTGATTTGCTTTCCATGAGGTGCTGCTGAGCTGCAGGGAGAGCCCTGCTGTGCTTTGGGTCACAGCTGTGTCTCTTGTCCCCTGAGAAAGCTGGCACAGGGGTCACCGGGGCGTATTTTGGGGTTGTCTTCATCTTCTCTTCCGCTGTCACCATCCTGGTGGTTGGAGTGAAACTTTTAAGCGTGACTGGGTCTCCTTGTCCTTGTCCTTTGAGAGGCTTTGGAATGCTGCAGGATTCCTGGTGCCCTGTGATCCCCCTTGGCACTGCCCAGCACATCCAGCTGGTCTCAGGGGGCTGTTGGGACCTGCAGGCTCAGCTCTGGGAGAGGCTGGAGTGGCCTGGAACAGCAGGAAAAACAAGTCCCCTCCCCTCCCTGAGAGCAATTCCCAAACCTCCCTGCAGCTGGAAAAGCCAGGCTGGGGTCCCCAGTTCCACTCTGCCTCTGGTGACTGATGGGGGAAACTGGGGAGCCACTGGGCAGCCTGGAAGGGATTTTGGGAGCCTGGTCCCCAGGGGAGCAGCCTGGGAGGGATTTTGGGAGTCTGGTCCCCACAGGAGCAGCCCCTCGGTTGCCAGGCAACTGCTGGCTGATGCTGCACAGCAGCTTGCTGGTAGCAGCTGATGCAGGCAGATGTGGCCACATCTGGCAGAGGAAGGAGGTGTGGAATTCCTCCCCACATTTGCCTATCACAAGTGTTACATTAAGCCATGTTTTTATCAGGCTCAGCTCCTGGAAGTCTTTCATTAAGCTTTTAAGGTGGCATTAAGAGCAACGTTGGCTTGAAAAGTGATGTTCAGCTCTGGTTTAGGTTTCATTCCACAAAAAAATTGGCCTATTTAGGTTTGAAACCATCCTCCCATACTAATAATTTGGGTATCCAAAGATCCTTATCCAGGCATCCAGATGCCATCAGTGAGTTTGGTGTCCCTGGGAGCACAGATGGCCAGCACAGGTTTCAGTCTCACAGGTTTTTGGAGATCAGATGAAATAGTTTTGATATTAATTTGGAAGGTGTAATCACAGTCGTAGGATGCAGCTGGACTCGGGCTCCAACTGTGCTGCTGTGCTGAATCAGGAAGAGCTGGGTGAGAAACTGGGCAGTTCTCCTGATTTTCCGTGAGGAATTTCTGCAAACAGTTTATTTCTGGCTGGCTCAGGGATTAGGACACTTAATTCCTGTCGAGTCCTAAGAGTGGCAAGAGATTAAGGGGCTGTTCAAGGATGTGCTGATCCTGATTTACAGAAAGTGGCCATTTGGGAAGGGAAGGACTTTGACCTGTTGGAGTCCAGGGGAGGCCACAGAGATGGTCTGAGGGATGGAGCTGCTCTGCTGGGAGAACTGGGATTGTTCAGCCTGGAGAAGGGAAGGCTTTGGGGTGACACCCCATCAGTCTGGAAAAGAGCCTGGAGTTACCCAAGATTTCATTAAAAAAGTGAGACTGGCAGCGCTGGTAGGAAAATTCTGGCTCAGGAATTGAGGGGTTTTTGTCGGATCAATGTTTATTTTGTCTCTCAGAGGTGCCGTGAAAGTGAATTAAGAGCTTTGGAGGCGGCTGGATGGAGTGGTGATGGATGTTGTGGCTTCGAGCCCCTGGGAAAATTAAATATTGTT